TTTATTAAATATGGTATAGGGATCTACTAGTTGATTATAAATACATTTAAAACCATTTTATGAACTCTTATTATTATAGGCGGACTGTGTTTGATTGCAAAAGTGAATGCTACTGTGTATTTTTTAAAACAACACATTCACTGTAAGTAGATTGCGCAGTCTACTAATTGCATAATATAGCATGTTTATTACGTACCTAATATTTTTATATTGCATTAAACCGATATTATACTGTCTGTGACAAATTCATATGATTTCTGGACTTCTAACACTAACTCATTAAAATACAAAAAAAAATATGCATATAATTAAAAAAAATGAGATTTTTACACTTCTTTAAGACATTTCGGATCACATTATTTTCACATTATAAATAAATTTCAAGTACAGTCGAGTCGTTATCATACCGCAATTAAAGTTCACTATGACCCAGTACTTGTGTTAGAAGAATTAGCAGTGCTATGATATTTAGTTGAGGACGATATACAAACGAAGGTTGTTCTTATGAATGCCAATATCAATATTTATTTTTTAAGTTCATGTGTGATACCAGACCGCAGAGCAGACCACAAAGTAAAATATCAAAAATATTCGTATTCGAATTACGAAAACAATTATACATTTAAACTTATAAGAAACAATAAACCAGTCTCCAGTCCAATCTTCCTTAATTTTAACCGATGAGCTAAAAAGTAATTCAATGAATATTTATAAAAATATCAAGTCAATAAACGTAATAACATATGCAAAATCGTAGGTTCTGGCGACTTTAAAAGGCTTCCGTTGATCTTCGCAAATATCCGCATACTTAACGTGCTATATTTATTTCGTAGTGTGAATAATTTAAATGTTAAAATAAAAATGATACTATTTTTCTTATATCTTTCCATCTTTGATTATATTTCTCACTAAAAAAAAGGATTCTATAAGGAGTCGGGGCCCAGGGGGACCCCTATTGCGGTCTGGGAAAAGACTAGGGTAGCTAACCATCTCTTCCCAAAGGGAATAATCTCTTCTTACTGTCCGCGTGTGCGAGCACTGCTCGCGCCTCCCTCCTGGGCCTCCTAGCGCTAGCCCCAAAGCTGTCTCCTCGGCTATAGGGGAGGCCTGTGCGTCTGCAATGGGCACATTAATAGACTGACGATGATATGAGGTTAATAACTTTCTGCAATTTCTGTAGCATTGCTTTCATTGCTCGGTCATTGTTTTACTGACTCATAAAAAGAGCAGTGGTCGCTCGTGTTCCGCGTGCTGACCACTCGACCAGTGTAACTGAGCCTCTACTGCAATGCAATAAAAAGTTTCACCAAAACGACAAAATCATGTCTTGAATAAATGATACTTTGCAAACATGGCGTGAATACATATACTTAGTATATGTCCTAACCTAAGGCGTTTCCATCACACCAAATATAAATAGTATTCTAACACCTGTCACATTTTGAATTTGATGACATTTATGGTACTCGTACCTACATTCTACATTATGTTTACTTTTACTGCAAGCTGCTCGGGGGAGACTTAAACTATAAAGAAGTACCTACCTAAGTAAGTTGCTTATGTTTTATCAATAAACTTCTAATGATTTCGTAAAGTTTTTTTGGAGTCAGTTTTATTTTAAGATTTGTTTTATTTTAAATTGCATTACTTGAATAAAAAAAATTGCTTGTACACTTTTCCAATAACACAATCGCTGCTGCGAATTTTAATTGAAAATACGTCTAATATATTCCCAAACGAACTTCTAACACGATAGAGATTTGGGCACAAGGAAAATCAATATTTTTATTCAAATTTTGAGTCCATTATTAGACTATTATATTTAGGTAGGTACATTTGATGTTAGCTAATGCATGAATAATATTAGATATTATTACACATTGCTATATTTTTATTTATTAGTAAATCTTACTCAACATATGTACAAATATAAGCTAAATCGATGTTACACTAATGCTACATATACCTTCCTACAGTTATTTTTGAACTTCATCAAAATTGCAGAAGCGGATCAGTATAATGTTAGTATGTCGATCTATCCATCATCTGATTAAGATTCTCCTGAATGAACTTATGATATTAGCATTTGCACTTACATCCAAAGCAGACAAAATGTATGTCCTCCCGTCCTTTTATGCAATGTGACTGGGGGCAATAGTTTGGCAAGGCGCCACGAGGAGTGCAGTGCACGAAGGATCGTGACCACGGCACAGACACACCGGCCTCGTTGTTGCAACACAACATATTGTGCTCGAGTGGCTCGCACTAAATTCGCGATTGGGACACTGATCACGAAGAATTGAGCTCGCACCATTGTTGTACCATCGGCCTCCGGCCACACCATTCGGTTAGAAGGTTGAAAGCAAAGAGGTTTCAAACGGGCGGATACCAGTTATAAGCAAAGATTATAGCGGCGTCTTCTTGTAATATCCATCATAATAATCGATCATTTTTATTACTGTTATTATACGAAACTATTCATTTCGGGCAATGCAATATTTTATAATTTTTATTTATGAGTTAGATGTACATTGACCGAGACCAATTTCTAACATCATTTGAGAATATTTCTTAAAGAACTTATGTAAGGTGTGTGAAGTTACGTGCTGTATTATTAACTTTAAAATTTAAATGAAAATAGAAGCGTTATAGTGCCCGTCTATAATTACCATATTTGGCCGCGTAAGAAGTTAATTAACACCAACCCTGAAGATGCACGATGCATCTAGCTATTATAAATCGATCGTGATGACGCGTCGCCTATTTCTTTATTGATGAAGCAGGATCGCAATTATCTGTTTACGGGCACTCAATCCATTAACAGACATTATACACATGCGTGTCAAGGTTAAGCATATCACATATATCACATAGTACGGTGCTGCGTGATGTGTACTACTCTGCTTGACGACCGCTCGTTTCCGTGTACGTACACGTATACGACATTATTCATGCGAAGTTTTTGTCTCAGCTTAACTCCGCACATCCTTAATCGTGTTTTTTTGATGCTGCATTAAATATTTGCTCATACGTGCAAACACGGCTTCGTCATAAGGAATTAGCCAACACGAAACGCCTACTTGTTCGAATCAGAAAAAAGGTGGACATGCAAAAGAGGTTTTCACACTGGCGTCTGTCAGCGGTGGTGGGTTTCGATGTGACACGGTTTTGTGGTTATTAGGTCACAGCATTTCAGCGACATGTCGCCTGGGGCGGCGCGTTGTCGAACAGGTCGCCACATTGCTTTTACGTAATGAACGTTGACCAACGTGCGACTGGCCTAACATACTGAGGCGAACATCACGAAAACAATCGTACCGTTCGTTCTGCCACCAGTGACATCACAGTAAATATTTGTAAATTATTATACAGTGTGTCCGTTTGCAGAACTTTGTACACTGAGTAATAGAACGTACACGTAGATGAATGAGCCGAAGATGTGCAATATGGTTATAGAAATTAAAAAAGGAAGTTTGTTCCATTGCTTAATCAGCTTGCGCGGGACAAGCACAACTTATTTCGTCCACGCCAGACACGTGGGAGACCGTTATTTATGTGTCTTACATATTGTAACCACCATATTTGGTTATATTTGTTAATGCCGAAACAGTGTCACCGTGTTACGAATAGCAAATAATATATATTCATAACTTAGGTAATTGTACAGTTAATATCTACGTATTTATAAAGATAAACAAAAAAACGGTCAAGTTTAATTTGATATTTATAGACGTCATCTCCAAGTCATAAGATAATCGTATAAACAGATAGACAATTATATATTTAATTTATTTATTATTACTAAATTATGCGCCAACTTACAGAATACTTAAATCCTATAAATATCTATTATGCACACTAGCACATTATATAAAGTTATGGGAATCAGAAATTTATAGTAATGGTAATAATATTGAATAAAGAGAAACAAAGTAACTACTACATATAGACATACAGATAGATTTTTTATATATTATAATAACAGATAAATTTTTTACGGGTATATCTTATAATTTTTCAGAGCATGGACTACGTTCATCCTTCTTGGATGTGGTCTTCATGTCATATCTGTCCTATATAATAAGTTAGTCCTTGAAAAAATTGCTATGATTTATTTGTACTGCAATTATATAACCAATATTATGAAGTGGAGGGTCATGGCCCATCCTCCTTAACCATCCATAAGGAAGGCCTGAGCCCCTGCAGTGGGGACGTAAAAGGGCTGGTGATGATGATGATGATGAAGAGGCAAGGATTGATTTTTTTATTTGTTTGTAATGAAGACGAAGAGAACGCCATACTCTTTAGCCATGACTCTAGCTATAGGATGCGACATCAAAGCGATATTATGACGATATTAATTTTATTGAATTAGACATATTATCTGTTACTGAAGTAATAGGAATTTCGCTGAGTCTGGTCTATACTATGTAATTATTATAAAGAGGAGACCTTTGATTGTTTGCTAGTTTGCATTGAAATAGGCTTCGTAACTATTGTACTGATTTTAAAATTCTTTCACCTACCGGGAGCCACATCAAATCAAATCAGAACCTATGTCACTACATAGGTTCTAATTCACGCGGGTAAAGACGCGGAAAAATAACTAGTATTTTATAAATGACGACCAAATACTGCGATTGTAAAGTTATCAGTATCAGCTCTACAAAACGATACACTTATTTAGCTTTTTTATCAATTTACATTATAAAAAATATGTATGTTATTAATTAATATTATAAAGCTGAAGAGTTTGTTTGTTTGTCTGAACGCACTAATCGCAGGAACTACTGGTTCGAATTGAAAAATTATTTTTGTGTTTAATAGACCATTTATCGAGGAAGGGTTTAAGGCTTATAACATCACGCTGCAACTATTAGGAGCGAAGAAATTGCTGTTAGAATTGAGTTAAATAACGCAACCCTGTCGAGTTTGCTCCAGGATAATATCCACAAAAATATTGTTAATAAAATAAACTTAATATTATTTTATTTGTACAGATGCATACGTGGTTGGTGGTAGCGTGCGCAGCTCTGCTGGCGACGCTGGCGGCCGCACAGAAGCCTGGCAGATTCCTCTCACTCCCCGTGCCACAGAAGTGTGCAAACAGTAAGTAAGCTTTCGAATTGCATTAAAAAATTAACACATACATATAACGGATGTTTAATATCTTTGTTGACGACATTTAATCAGTTTATTATATAACATTTTATTTATACTATATCTGTCAAGGCCGTTTAAAGCTATATCTTGTTAGTATACCAGCGAGTCTTAAAAAGTAGACGCAAAGTCATAATTTTTAATCCGAAGACTGGCAAAATCTGATTGTTAAAATCAGCTGTATACGATGGTTCTGCCTAAAAAATAGTGTATCGCTCATATCTGAGACAGTACTCTAATGTTGGGATCAGCAATAGCCCTGGATGGCGCAATGAAATACTGGTATAATTCTTCAGTCTTGATTATATTTGCGAAAATCATACATCGAATCACTTATAACTAAATGATAAGATATGACTCTATGCCGGCCCGGATCAGAAAAGAAAAATTATTCACCAGCAAAACACGAACACGCGAATTCGAATACGAAAAGTACCTGTAATAATTTAAAATATTAACGGACAGCATTGACCATAAATTGTACGAAGAGTAACCTTACTTATAGTAATGTGCACGGACGTTACAGTACCTATAATCGCAAATCATAGCTAGAAATAGTATTTTATGACAGAATTTTCGTGCTGATACACTGGAAGGCACTAATCATTTTTATTTGATTTATATAAAACCAGTATCTATTAGCCACAAAAAATAGGTAGCATCAAATTTCCCGCGACTTGATGAGTTATTTAGTATTTCTAGTGGCTATTTACAATCTTCATTATTCTTAAAATAATTATACTTAAGTTAATCAGTGGATCGATCGAAAGAAGATAATATTAGAAAGTATTACCTACGATAAGATTGAAAGTAAATGAATGATTCACCATACGAACTTTTATCCTCTTTTTTTTTTAATTTCCGGGATAAAAATTACTCTATATTCTTCCTAGGGTCTCATACTATCTCTATACCAAATTCATTTAAAATCGAGTCAGCACTTTAAACGTGAAAGCGTAACAAACAAAGTTTCTTCTGCATTTGTAATAATGTTTAAGTAAGAATTAATTAGTTGATACTACTGATCTTCCTGGTTACGTTACTATGTAAATTGTAAATGAGCTCATAAATCAGCATTTGAAGAATCTTAACCGGTGTAGTTTATATGAGAATGTGACATTGCGTTCCTTGCAATCTCAGTTGCCGATTAAAGCTTCCTGCTTAATTAATTAAGTTGTTTTTATATAATTCCCAGTGTTCACTTCTAGTGAGTAAATATTACCAATAAACCCTTAAAGTCATAGTAGTTAGGTTCCAGGGATGCGACCATCTAACTCTCAAGCCATAGGATCCGATATCTTAGCGATGATATTGCGATATCTTTCATTTGACTCCCTTGATATCTACTTTGGCAACAACAAAGAAATGATAAAGAAGATGTTTATTATGTAACTGAGATAAACTTCTGTAGTGCAGCTCAAGTAATAATTTATGGACACATCCTATGACTGGCCCTGTCGAAAGTTGCTTAAGTTCCACATCGCAAACCGAACGTACTAACCGAAAAAAAAGTATATTTGCCAGAAGGAATGGATTAAACGATGATTTTCATAATAATAAATATTTTTCACGTGAAAATTTCATAAATTTACATTTTAACCCTGAATGGTTTCTAATTTTTAATTACAGACTTTTTTAAATTAATTTGTTGAATCCAGTGAAAAAAGCGCCTTTTTTATCGCCATTTAAAATGTAAAAAGGTATCGGTTCGAAGACGAAATAAATCTCTTTTTTTAAATCTATTTTCTTACTCATATGTTATTAAAAATAATATTCTTCAAACGGAATTCAGATAAATAGTTCATTTAATTTAAATAAAGTTTAGATCCGTGAAGAAGACCGGAATATATGAGCACGTCCTTAATTAAAATTTATGTATGAGACTTGTCATTAATATTTCTTTTTTTTTACAAAAGCTAAGTTTATTAACTTCACACGAATAAATGTTATTTTTCTTATTATCTAAAACACGTTTTATTGTATAATTTTAGAGTCGGTTAGTAACTATAATATTTAATATAAATGACTATTGATTACGTAATAAAGATTAACTTTATCAAAGTATCAGTGTGTCTTTGAATTGAATGCCAATTTTAATGGCGACATTTAACTTTATGGTGATAGTTTTTATTGGAAAACATGTTGCGAACATAATTACAACTGTGTGTATTATAAGTATTTGTAAATTTAGTGAGTTTAATTTATTACTAGCTGTTTTCCCCAGATTTCGCCCGCGCTTTTTATAGCCTACTTTATACGCGTTTGATGTCCTCCCTCCGTAGGTGAAAGAATTTACATTATCGGATCAGTACTAGTCGTACGATTTAATATGACATCTTAAGGCCTACGGCCTTAACGGCCTTAAGGTGTTATGACATCTTTTTAAACCAATGTTATGAAAATTATACATATGGTCGATTGTTTGCAAAAACACATTTTTGCATCGATTTTACGATTTTTTTTTCATTTTTACTATGCAAAAATAGGTTTTGAAATAATCTAAAATGTACAAAAGATTTTTTATAACTGCATTTGTTTTTTTCTGTGATTAAAAATGTATTAAATTAAGCGAGCGCGTCTTTTCTATTTGCGTGAGCGCGTCTTATTCGTATGTGAACGTAAATGAAAGGACAAGAAGGCCTTAATAAAGCTCTATTCTATTTCTTTGAAAAAGAAATTTCATCTAAAACCAAAGAAACGCGTTTTTCAATAATTTACGATGCACTGAAGATAAGACCTAACACCGTCTCTGATCAACAGATAATCTTCATGGATGTGATTTAACAAAATTATCTAGAGACTAATTTAAATATTTTACCTTTTACGTCGTCAGATAAATTATTCTCCATTAAAGTATATCATAAAAAAAAACCGAGCAAGCGCAAATCGGACTTGTGCACGAACGATACCATTATCCATATAAAAAGCCAAAAATCGTTTGTTGCCTCCAAAGGATTTATTCGAAATTTTCGAGTTAAATACGTTTTGTCAGCTTTTACTCGTAAAGCCAACTTAAGTGTCGTATTTTTCCTATTAATTTCATTATATATAAATACCACTGTTGCTGATTCCAAAAATTATAGTGTTCAACCAAACAAACAAACTCTACAGCTTTATTATTAGTATAAAAGTATAGATACTAATAATATTTTACATTGTACAGTCAACAGTATGTCAAGTTATACAAAACTGTCTTTCGCCTGACACATTGAGAATAAAGTTCAAAATCAATGTCAGCAAGTTGACGAATTTTTGTAAATTGAAATGCTACTGGTATATACTTGGTATATACTTACCATATAGTTTAGTAAGTTTTTGTCGCTTTACACGTTTATGTTTGATTTTCCTACACAATAACAATAAACTAACATATTTTGGGTTGTACATTATATTAATACCTTTAATTGATGCTAATCAGGGTCAAAGTTAAACAAACAGTCCGACACTAGTAACCAAATGATCTGTCATATCTTTGCAAAGCTTTATATGCGTTATTATAAAATCAGAGATTAAACATCGTGTAACATCTAAATGTTGTTTTATTTATTATAGATCATTTTCAAAAAACTGTTTTGAATTGATCAATTAATTACAAAATAATATGATAATAAAATAAAATTAATCATATGCATTGTCTACACTAATATTATAAAGAGAAAAACTTTGCTTGTAATGAATAGGCTCAAAAACAACTGGACCGATTTTAAAAGTTCTTTCACCATTCGAAAGCTTCATTATCCACAAGTAACATAGGTTTTATTTTATTTTGGAAAAAAAAAGGGTTCCGTAAGATATTTGGGATTTTCGGACACAAGGTGTAAAAATCAACCAGAAAAGTTACTTATTTTGCGTACGCTGCCTAAACTATAAAAGATAGAACCATAGAATGTTCTAATTAATTGTAAATAAGATACCAGCGGACCACGCGGGCGCAGCCGCTGGCGGAAAGCTAAATTTAAATGTTCTTGATTTACTTTAGTTGGTGTTCGAAATCCCAATTTTTTTTAATGCAACATCAACTAAACCTATCTTTATTGTTGCTTCTTTCATTTTAGACAGCTGTTTCATAGTAATACCAACCAGTTAAGACGGTACACAAACGGTATCGGTATCTGAAGTAAATAAAAGGGTTTTCCTTTTTACTTTGTTATATCTACCACAACGCCACCGAGCTACAGTAGCTCTGCGATAAGCGCCGCGGCCCACGATCGTCGTCGTTAAGCAACTTTCGCAAGGGTCGGTCACGGTATGGGTGACCAAAAAATTATTATAAGCCGTTGGTCCCGGCTGCATTTGTAGTCGTTAATACCCTCCAATCCGCATTGGGTCAGCGTGGAGGGTCATGGCCCATCTTCCTTAACCATCCATAAGGCCTGAGCCCCTACAGTGGGGACGTAAAAGGGCTGGTGATGATATGTTCTACTGTCGTATCGTTTTTATCAACGACCGTTTAGTTGAACCGAAACTTAAGTCACAAACGGCTTACTACAACTTAACATAATTTTTTCCACACCCCTAAAGTTTTTGAAAGACCTATCCAAACGACGCGGCACATTATGGGATAAACGAAAAAAAAATCATATCCACAGTACATGTAGGGGAGGTACCCCAAAAAATCTTTTTTGAAATTTTGCTCTACCACTTTGTCGGCGGAATTTACGTATATACTCATGCCAAGTTATAACTTGTACCAATAGTTTTTGAGCTAAACCGGACAGACGCACATGGTGAAACTAGAAAGAATCTTAGTTTTATTTTTTAAATGGCCGGTTTCGATTCCCGAACTGAGACTAGTTTTGTTACTAAAATTGATAAGATGGTTCCTAAGACAAGATTTCGTATGTCTTATATTTTGTCGTGTATTTTCTTTTCCATACTGACCGTTCTAAATGGCACATGCTGTAACTGTCACAATAAACTATGGTACTTATCAGTCACGTCAGGGTGGA